AGCCTCCCTCCAAAATAAAGGAGACTACCAAACTATTTCAATTTCCAAGTTAACCTGCAGGCGTTTGAGTAACGAAGCGTTCCCGGAAATTACCCGCATTTGCAGTTTTCTGCCATTTGCAGTTTATTTGAAACTAATAATACCTACCTATAATATTCTCCTAACATAAAGTTGTGGCGAACGTTTGTTGGAATTGCATTTTTACGGTGACCCGTTGCAATGGAAGACCATTTAGTTTAGGACTGCCGAACGAATATAGTCCACACCCGAAGTCGCGATCGGAACGGTTTTCTACAGAAGAAAACTATATATGTACCCACATTACGTAAGGGACCGCGATTTCGGTAAAAATAAAACCAGCCGCTCGCTTTTCGTTTAGTCCTATGAACGTGATTAGGTACACACAAAGAGGGACCGAGTCGCTCGTGATATCAGATTATCAATTTAATAGAATAAGAAATATCTGTACAGGTAATTAGCTGCGAACTGCGCATAAACTATGAGCCCACCCCTAAAACTGACTTACGTCCTACCCATTTAGAATTTTTGAAAATTTTCTTTACCAATATTTAGTAAGTAATTTGTGAGAATTTGTATGACAAATTTCAAAATTTGTACGGTCTTGGTTGTCCCGTTATCAAACAAAAATAATGGGTGGGGCTGAGGGCTAATTTCGGCCCCACCCAAGGTTAAAAATTATTAATCATAGTCGTAACTACACCATAATTTAGTACGTATTTTGTATGAATTTGTACGACTCTTCTCAAACTTTGAAGTTTGTCATACAATTGTATACAAATTACGTACTAAATATTTGTAAAGAAAATTTATAAATGGGCTATATACTGTCTAAAATTGTCTCTTCGGGTCCCAGCTTGTGGTGGCGTCCTCGAGGGTGTACGCGCGGCTAGGTCAAGTGACAGTGTTATAATATTATAAGCTACGGACGGGTCCTATGCCTTCCCACGAAAATCGCCAAATATAGTGGCGATAACAACGATGATTTCTTTTGTCGTCGTCATTGAAAATTACACGGGTACGATTGCTAATTGCCCGGCAGAATACCTGTAATTTCACGTTTTCTGGCCGTTTTGTCGGCGACAAAACTACGACGACGACGACGACGACGACGACGACCCGCGGGTCCTCTAATAGTCTAATGTATAACTCGATACTATTAGTGACCGTGCGGAATTATATATATAGCTCTAAGTGTAACTCGGAGCCCGTTGGACTCGCTGGGAGTGGGTACCGATTTTGGAGACAATGAATTATAAAAGTCGCTAAGGTTGTAATACGAAAGTTTAGGATTTGTGATAAGGATTAGTGATATGAATTGGAGATAAGGCTATAAACGCTTGGGCGGGAATGTTAAAAGTTTGAGGGTCTAGCAATCCGTCACAAACGTTGTAAATGGATAGGCTGGATACGATCTCCAGGATCACCTATATAGAGTATACCTGCACATAGAGTGGTATGTGCCGTAGCGGCGTAGCATGACCGGTACTTTATCTTATGTAAAAAGTGTAAAATCAAAATCAGTGTTGGAGTTTCTAGCAAGTCAGCCATCTCAAGTCAAAATCTATTAACTTTCAAGTTAGCCACTTAGGTAGGCAATCCGACTTCGTCGGATCGCGGACAATGTGCTACAGAAAATCAGGTAGGCAATCCACCTGCGGTGGATTGCAGACCCGACGTCAAGCGGCTATAAGTGAAAACCCTATCACACAACTTACGAAATAATTTACGAAAAATTCAAACTATATACAATACACATACAAACAAATATAATATGTATTTATTGTGTGATATAATATAACAATGAACATTTTGAGAAATGTGCATTTATAATTTCTAAAAAAATTTAACATATAGGTAGATAGTTAGATACATATTATTATATTAACCAATACAATACATATAAACATGTACCTATAGTGTACCTATATATATTAATTTTTTAAAAAAAATGCATAAACCTGCATGTTAAAGTGTCTAGCAAGTCAATCATCACCGTTTAAGACGAAACCAAAATGAGCAATCCGTCTATCTATATTATAGTAAGGCTCTAAAAGACACGGGTAAGGACAGCGACCATTTTCTTTCCAAAGCTGATAAATGATAATAGCTAGTCATGTATTTATTAAATTTGTTTTGAGAAATTGAATTTAGGTAATAAATGAATAAATGAAGGAAAATATATATTTGAAAGATTATTACCGATTTTTCATAGACGTACTTGTTTTGATAAATATTTGGATCATTTGTATTAATTCTGTATTAATTCCAACTGGAAAGAAAATGGCGGTTGTCTTTACCTGTTTTTAAAAAGCCCTAATTATAGTAGGTATATCACATAGAGTATGTTTTCCTTTCCATTGGTACACTATAGACAGCTGATTTTCTTGTCATTTTATAGTATAGGAAGGAAGGATTAAAAGTATTAACGTTCATTAATTTAAAAAAAAAAAAGATTTACTTTTTATTTATTGAATATAATATTTTGTTCTGTACTAGGTAATGTAATATATATTAATGAATATGTAAAACTTTGTATGTTTAAAGTAAAATTTTAAAAAAGTATAGGGGGTGTGGGGGGCATATACCCATTAACTTACTTACTTACTTACTTACTTACTATTTCAACGCATATCCTAAGCTGAAACCCACCCTACGCCGCCACTGGTCTGACGTGAAGGTGCTTGGTTTTTCGAAACCTCTATGAAATATACACTTATTATTATAATTTTTATTTTTGTCTAAGAGGTTTTTTATTCATATAGGTACCGTAATAGACAAATATTAGGTAGTCAGAATTTTGATTTTTCGACCACTTGGTTTTTGGGTCTGGGAAAAATATCCAAACATCGAAAAACGTCGTCGTAATAAAATTATTATTATTAAAACGTCGCAAATGTATAATATTATCCACAGATATAATCCACTAACCACTATAATTTAATAATAAAATCCGCGGAAACGAACACGAACATCCGCCCGGTGTACATAGGTCATAGACCCAGTCAAAACAACGTGTTTAATTTTAGCCGTTTTGGCCGAATATTCTCTGAAATTCCTTCAGTCTTTCCGATTTCAGTCGTTTAATCTTAAAGAAGAGATAATAATATATTAGTATGGATTATGGATATTAATTATTAACACTTATTGCTTCAACCAAATTGTCTCTGTGTTTTCATTAGGTGCCTTTTTAGGACTTGATATAACTGAGGAGCAACACATTTTATCTGGAAGCCAAGGTGAAATTATCTTTACCTATTTTGGCATTATTCCGACTTCCGAGTGAATTTGATGTTCCTGAATGTCGATATGGAAGACCAATGTATGTAATTGATTCTAGTCGGAAACTAGTCTAGCCATAAAATGAATCCTACCAACAATACTTAGATTACGTACATACTGCTGGAGAGTTGGACTGCAATAAAACCATACAAATGATTTATTTGTGGTTAATTAATTCTGACACAGCAACGAACCAACGAAAGGTAAATTAATTTGAATTTGTATAATACATAGGTAGGTAATTACCAAGTAGAAACATTTTATTACTTGTAAGTTGTAACTCATCTAGCAAAAGATACCTAAGATATAATTATTCTAATTTCATATTTGAATATATCAGTTTTTAGCAGTTATAGACTTATAGTTTTAAGTAATAGTTTTAAAAAGTGTTGTCGATTAAAAATTATTTGCTCTGTCCAAAAACTATAACATTTAATACAAGATTCCTCATATAAATAGTGTTGTTAGTCAGAATTCAACCTTGAACCTAATATAATAGGTATCATTATAGTATATTATTAATGTCTAGGTAGGTTTAACCTATACCTACGTAGAAGTTTCAGAGGGCCGGGGAGACCTTAGCACAACTACTTTTAAAATTAGCATCAGTTGCTGCAGTGGAGTGGGTGAAGTAGCTCATCGTAAAATCCGTGATCGCAGGGAAAAGACTAATTAAAAAAATAAGGGGCTTTAGCACACTTTCCATTGAATTTGTATCTCGAAGATTAGTTAGTAGGTACTAGGTAGGAACATGAAATTAAAAACATAGGTTTCTACTTAAAATTAAAATGTTTTCGGTTTCACAGATAAATATAAGCAGGTACCATTGGTAGGGACCATAGGCGCAATTTCAACTTTTGACTTGGGGGGGAGGGGTTGAGTATATTAAAGGCAAGCAGACAATTGCAATATAGCTAACCTTCCCTACTAGGGACATAATATTGTTTACATCGTTGGGCATTGACTTATGTATTTTGGTCCCTACGAAATCAAACATCTTACGACAACCTGTTTTTATAGGCTAATTTAATGAGAAGTTATTCACTTTAAAATATTAAAATATTTATTTTGTCATGATTACATGCGGAACACGTATTGGTTATCTTTTTCTAACAATGTTAGAAAGAGCTACATGCCACCATTATAGATGATTATAGGCAATTTATGGCAGCCGGGAAGGTATTGGCCCGATGGCCGTATGGGATTCATAAAATATTTTTAATGTTTATGCCTTTACCTACTACACATCACCCTACACGAATTCACTATTTGTTCAAAAAAAAAAATATTTATAATTTTTATAAACGTAAACACGTAATATTATTTTCTTATCATCAATTTGTTATCAATCATGTGATAATAACAAAAATAGTAAATAGGTACATAAAAAAGTAAATAGTAAAAAGGTACCACAGATATCTATATAGTATATTAGTATAGACATCTGTAATAGGTACTAATTACTAAATACTATAAAAATAAAATAGCAATTACCAAAAATATATTTAAATTAAATTAAATTCACAATTAAACTGAATGTTGAAGGTATATAGTTATAGTTATATTGGTAAATAATAACAAAGCTTATATAAAAAATGTCTTTTTATGTTTTAGCCCAATTAGGTAGTAACTAGTAATTATTGAAGTATCAACAGTTATTAACTTGAATATTAGTACCTACCTACATATTCTGAAGAATCATGGCAAGTTCAGCAAATAAATCCGAACCAAAGAAAGATGTTTTGAAACCATCAAAAGATACTAACAACTCCAAATTGACAAGTAAAGAAATTAGAGAAGAGTACTTTAACCAACTACGTTCATGGTTGAATACTGTAAACAGTTATCAGTGCTACTACAATAAATTGCAACGAGAGTCTTTTCAAAACAACTACCGGCAAGTTTTGAAAAATCCTAATGAAGTTCCTAAAGTTGTACCTAATGTTGTTCGTGAAACACCAGCTGTTGAACGTAATCAATTTGTGGGTATGTTTTATTCTTGTACAGTTCAACAGTAGTACTATATCAAATGAAAAATAATTTCATTCTTTAATGTTGATTATTTAGGGATAAGATGCCAGATACCGTCTTTATGGAAGCGCTTTGGAGCTGAATTCATCGATTTTTTGCTGTTAAGCTTAGTAAAATTCTTGATTGCTTACTTTATAGTCGATTCAATTCTTGAAATGTAAGTATAATTTGCATTTTATTATTTAAAACTATGTAAATCAATTTTTATTTTTGATGGAATGAGTATATTTTTCAAAATAAATACTACCAAACTTCCTAACCGATGATATATATTAAACTATAATCTACACTTGTTTACGCATCTACACATGTTTAAAATCTATGAGTCCAGAGAAATAATATCTGATATGGGCCTTATTTTGGTTTATAGTGGTTAAAATAAATTATTATTAATATAAAACCGAGTATAAAACGAACATTCAGAAATCAAATTAAAAAAAAACAACTCGACAGGGTACAAAAACTGGGTCACTTATTTCACTGTATACCTCGGCAATACTAGTGTTTTCTTATATTCTATTTGTAAACAATAGGTAATATTAATTTAGTCATCATTAGAAACCTCACTTACTGACATTTCTTCATAATTATTTGATTATTATAGGTATATCTAAATAAATACTACAAAATTAGTATGTCTGTATTTTATTTATGTATGCTGAATATTATCTAGAATATTGTATTTTATTTTAATATAACAATGAAATGTAAAATAAATATACTATAATATTAACACTATAATAAAATTATTGGCTTTTTGTTAAAATATAATTATAAGTACCTATAGTATAAATATGAATTTATTATGTTTAATTAATATTATTCACTTTCATAGATTCATGGTAGAGTACACACTACATACTAAAGTCCCACATTTTCCATAAGAGCACATACCGCATCAAAAAATAATAATTAAATACTGCATTTTTTTTTAAGTGCCTTTAACTAAGAGTCTAATGCCAATGATCAATACTATTTAATGGACCAATCATGGGTCACTAAATCATATTTAAGGAACCGTTAGCTCACTATTGATTCATTAAGTGATCGTTCATACAACCTGGCATAAAACTATTATTATTCTATTTTTTTTTGTTTTTGTTATGTAAATCCTAGACATTAATTTAATAATAATAAAGTTTTAACTAAAATTAAATTATAACCCAAGTTCTTACATATGTAGGTACTTAACTTTAAATAAAAATAAAGTACTACTTAATTACTTAAACATTTAAAAAAAAATATTTTATTAATTTTTAAAAGTGTTTATGCATATGATAATAATAATAATAATATCACATTGACAAGTCATAGATTTTGCTCCTATACTTAAGCTGAAATGACCATAATTTAATTTATACATTAAATAAGTTATCTTTTTTTTTTTTTAGTGATTTTACTAAATATAATAGCATTTTTACACGAGATGATTATAATGTTGATTATACTACAGCAGTAGAAATGACATCTGAACTATTTTTTATAGAAGTAACACACCGAATAATAGTTTGTGTATATGAGGTAATTTTAAAATTAAAATCACTTCAAAAATCCTTAATTACTTAAACCAACATTCAATTATTGTATATTTAAATCAAAATCTTCACGATATCATAATAAATTGACTACTTTTTTTCAGATATATTGCCTACAAGGTAGTACAGTCTTTCAAGGAGGAGCTACAGTTGGTAAAACTCTATTAGATCTTACAGTTGTTCGAGCTGATAAACTATTTAATATAAGAGGTCAGCCAACTGATGTCATTGCTTTAATTCCTGGTGGTGATATTGGCTGGAGACGAGCAGCACTTCGTTCAATCACTAAAAATTTGTTTTTTGCATTCTTGTTTCCACTACCTTTTATTACAGCAGCAGCAAATCAAAACAGATGTGCATATGATGTTTTATGTGGAACGATGGTTGTAGAAGTTATACAACCACTTAGGTGTGAACAATCTGAACTTATTCCTATTGGGTAATAAGATTGTTAATTAATAAATAATATTAATTAATCATTTGTATAAAATTAATTTATCATAACTCTAAATATGGGTCAAATAGAGTTATTTTATTTAAAAAATATATACTATCAAAATTTATACAAATTAATTCAGTACACCTTGATAAAATATAAAAAATTTTGAATTTTCTGTATTTTTAGACTAAGTGAACTTATTAATTCAAGTTATTAATTTATGTTTTGTTTGTTTAAAAATGTAATTTACATAACATACTATATCAGTTTAAATTATTTCTTGTATTAAAATTGAATTGTATTTAACTTAAAGCATAACTGCACAAGTTATTATTTTATCAACTCTGATGGTTAATGCTTTGTGTTGTTGCAACTATTTTTCTATACTTTTAATAGAAAAACGACTGTAAGTAATATCCTTAGAGACAAAATAAGATGACTATTAGATTACAATTATTATAAGTAAAATAATTTGAAATTGAATTGCTTAAAATTACAGCCGTGTTTATTTACCATACTGTAGTTTTCTCAGTTTCAATAATAATAACAAAATAATATATATTTATTATTCCATCAATTACAATTTACAATTAATAATATATTCAATGACTTATAGTTGCACAACCAAAGCCTAAAACTGTAATGTAATTTAAATTTTAAACATTGTAATAACTAAAAATATGCATTCCAAGTTAAACATTAAATTAAGTTGCATTACAAGTTACTAATTTTTTTTTTTATTATTTATTAAAAATAATCCTCTTCAACTTGGCCATTAGCTAACAATAATTTTTGTTTGTGATAATTTAATATTAATGATAGTTAACTTGTTTTTCTACAGGTTATATTTTTCTATACAGTAAATTATCTAGATTAATTTCTTTAATGGATTTTATGATCAATTTCACTAATTTTTGTTATGAAACTTTGTCCTTTATTATAATTTATAAGTAATTAGACCTTGTATAAATATATTTATAGGTACCTAGTTACCTACTGTAGGTATATTTGTTTTTGTTCCTTTTAAAAGTTTCTAATTATAATATAATATGAAATATAAGATTTTAAAACTGTAAATCTTAAGGCTTTGGCCAAACAGCAACTTTCATAGACCTTATATGGTCTATAGTTGGGTACCTACTTTAAATCCTAATGATGTATTGATGTCAAATGAGATGCAAGAGGGTTCCAATTAGCTTTCCACTCAGGAATTAAAAATAAATAAACTGTCAATGGGTCATTATTCATTAGTCATTAGTATTTACTATTTAGTGATTATATCCTATATGTACTAGGTAGTACACTTAGGTCTTAAAGAAATACTTACCAGGAATAAATAAGTCTGATATTATATTATATTATTCGAATATTACATCATAATAGTATATTTTGGCCTTGAATCAACACTGAATATTGTAAAACATCTTCGAATAATGTATAGCTATTTGACCAATAGACATGTATGCATACAAATGTTTAAATTAAATTGGGACCTACGTTTTGGAAATTATACGTGTTTGTTACAATACCTACTGCATTTATATACGTGACTAAAATATCGAGTAACTAGGTACCTGCCTATATATTCCAGGTTCTGAGCGGAGCGAGTGGCGAGCGACGGATGTATTGATTTTACAACGATGTATGTTTTTCTACTTTTTCGTCTGATATTCAGTTTTGAAGGGGGTTTTTCGTAGCAAATTGGATTTACTTATTAGGTACTTTTGGCCGTTTTGATAGGTCAAAATTGAAAACTCCCAGCAGATGTACATCATAATAATTGGGAGTAAATAATATGAATGAAAAATTAATACGTAAAACCAGTTTTCGACCAAATCGATTATCTTATGGTTATTGTAATTAAAAAATAAATAATCGTAAATATTTGAGAAATTGTCACCAAATGTTAATATTGGCAAGTTCTATACCTAAATTTTTTAATCGCCAAATTGTTTTGACTCTTTTTGAGGTATTATTATATAGTCATTGGCATATGAAATATTTAGTTTATTTTAATAATAATAAATTATTAAAAAATTAATTTCAACTGGTTCGTCATAATTTCTTGTGATAGCTATTAAAAAATATTAACGATACATAGTTGTGATTTTTTTATAATTTGAAGTTGTGACAAATTTGAAATTTATTTTGTAGTTTATAATTTATAAAATTTTATTTTTTTATAGCTCTAGGGCTAGAAAACGAAATAAAATGTTTCTCATAAGTAGTCAATACTCAATAGTCATACTGGAAATTGGAACCAAACAACTTAACATCTATATATATAAAAATGAATGTATGTCAGTGTGTCAGTGTGTCTGTGTGTCTGTGTGTCCATGTTACCATGGTTACCAAGGTTGCCATGGTTACTAAGGTTACCAAGATTTCATATCAATCTTTATAATATATAAAAATGAATGTATGTCAGTGTGTGTGTGTGTGTGTGTGTCCATATTACCATGGCAACCATATCTGTATATAAAAAACAGTAAGCTGATTGACTGCTATCAACGCACAGCTCAAACCATTGGACGGATCTGGCTGAAATTTGGCATACAGATAGCTATTATAATATAGACGTGCGCTAAGAAAGGATTTGCCAAAATTCGCATTTTAAATAGGTGCTGAAACAGGGACATTGAGATTCACGATAGAAATTGGAAATTTTATTTTTATTTATTTACTAGCTGATCCCGTGCACTTCGTCGCCCGTTAAATGGATCAACTCAATACTACCTACTCAAACTTTGTTCAATTCATTAACGTGTATGGTGTTCAAAATTTATCTTATCTTTCCCGTTGCCCTGAATAAAAATTCTGAATCGCAGCAGTACATTATCAGGTAGGCAATCTACCTGCGGTAGATCGCGGACCCCGTGCTGTTTGTACGGAAGTGTATGATTTAACTCTAAAGTATCAAAGTTATACCAAGTTTATTTTGATGTAATACTGTGGATTAATATAATAAATTTGGTTGCTCGTAAAAAATCGCAACTCTTAAAAAAATTATGATTGTTGAACTCCTTTTGGGTGTAATTTTCTGCGGTAAGTGCAACTCTGCCACCCTGGTAAGCATTGTTCAATAATTCGATTTGATGCAAGCTTGTACCTGATCTGCCCGAATAACCAATGGCAACCAATAAATAAATGCTAATTTCTAATGTAGACTGTAACCAATGGCAACTATAAATAAATAAAAATAAAATTTCCAATTTCTATCGTGAATCTCAATGTCCCTGTTTCAGCACCTATTTAAAATGCGAATTTTGGCAAATCCTTTCTTAGCGCACGTCTATATTATAATAGCTATCTGTATGCCAAATTTCAGCCAGATCCGTCCAATGGTTTGAGCTGTGCGTTGATAGCAGTCAATCAGCTTACTGTTTTTTATATACAGATATGGTTGCCATGGTAATATGGACACACACACACACACACACACACACTGACATACATTCATTTTTATATATATAGATTGATATGAAATCTTGGTAACCTTAGTAACCATGGCAACCTTGGTAACCATGGTAACATGGACACACAGACACACAGACACACTGACATACATTCATTTTTATATATATATAGATAGATATAGATAGTTGCCATTGGTTACAGTCTACATTAGAAATTAGCATTTATTTATTGGTTGCCATTGGTTATTCGGGCAGATCAGGTACAAGCTTGCATCAAATCGAATTATTGAACAATGCTTACCAGGGTGGCAGAGTTGCACTTACCGCAGAAAATTACACCCAAAAGGAGTTCAACAATCATAATTTTTTTAAGAGTTGCGATTTTTTACGAGCAACTAAATTTATTATATTAATCCACAGTATTACATCAAAATAAACTTGGTATAACTTTGATACTTTAGAGTTAAATCATACACTTCCGTACAAACAGCACGGGGTCCGCGATCTACCGCAGGTAGATTGCCTACCTGATAATGTACTGCTGCGATTCAGAATTTTTATTCAGGGCAACGGGAAAGATAAGATAAATTTTGAACACCATACACGTTAATGAATTGAACAAAGTTTGAGTAGGTAGTATTGAGTTGATCCATTTAACGGGCGACGAAGTGCACGGGATCAGCTATATATTATATAAACACAATTTTTTTTTCATAAACATTTTAAGTTTGAATTTGGACTAAATTAAATATGTATACCTACCTACTTAATACTTAAACAAAGAATAGGTAACGATTTTAGATATTTTGTTGTAATTCAAAAACTTATATAAACTTTTGCTTATATATGTATGTATTATTATTATATTTCATATATTTTCAAATGCCTACCTATAGGTAGTCTATACAATGTCACAGTAACATTTTCAAAACATTTATTATTTATAGATTCATTTTAATATTTTATGCTATTGCCTATTTATAGCACGAAAATATTCACACTGTTCTACGGTATTGGTATTGACTCAACATTTAATAACAATAATATATTTAAATATATAGATATTAGGTAGCTACTACTCCAAAATATTTACATCATGAAAATTCTATTACGTATAAAAATATTGAAAATAAACTATTGAATAATTATAGGCTATAACCATTAGTCTATTAGCCAATATAGAGGTGACCGAATCAATTTGCTACCCCTATTTATTTTTGAGTGTGCGCCACTGAGCTCATGTAAAAGCGACGATTTGATGCATTTGGATAGGATATAGGTAGGTACCTCATCTGCCCGAGTAATCAATAGGAAGTAAATTTCAATTTCCACCGTGGTCCTTGAATCTCAAAATCCTTGTTTGAGGACCTCTTTAAAATTTTAATTTTGGAAAATCCTTTCTTAGTGGACCTTTACATCATAAAACGAAAATACTGACCAAATTTCTTATTCATAGATTCGGAGATTTCGACTAGGCGATGATGAATTAGTCAGTCAGGACAAGTTCTTTAATAGTTTTATGTAATATATAGATTATAATAATTATTAAGCTAATAACCTTAGCAGTTGATGCTGTACCATTAAAAAA